TTAAAAACAGAAGGAAACAAAAGTCCTATTTCTGGAAAAATTAAAAACAGTCATATTTTTGTCCATAAGAAGTCTAGGAGTAATATCTATGTCATTTTTTCTATTTGTATCCCATCTTAGGGTATATTGTAATCTAAACTACAACTAAATAAATTGGGAATCTTTCGGTACTAGACTAAATAATGAAAGTATATCACTTTTTTTCACTTTTTTTCACTTTTAAATGTACTTTTCAAACATGGACTGTTTAAAGTTTTGTTTTCAAAAATAGACCATTCCTTCGTATGAAGCATTGCTACTGTCATTCTTCCACAAACTAATAGAAAGTGCTCGTACACAATTTTTTATTTGAAATAGGAAAATGAAATATTCATTAAGAATTTAAAAAGATAATAATGTTTAGAAAGCAAAAAAAAATATTAAAAAAATTACTTCAAAAAAACATAAAAAACTCGAAGTGCAAATAGATGGAAAACTGTATATTAAATTTAAAAATTTAAATAAAATAAATTTAAGTTTTAAAAAATATATGAAAAAAATAAAAAACATTTGGAAAACTCAAAAGTAAACATATAAATAGTTTAAAATAGTAAAAAAAATGTTCGAAAGTTGTATAAAGGTTCAAAATAAAACTTTTATGTTGCAATTTTTAAATAGTTAATATCATTTATATAAATTATATAAAATTTCAAAAATATAAACATCGGAAGTTTAATACAAGTTTAAAATAGTAACAAAAATCATTAAATTTTTAAATAACATGTGTGAATTATATAAAAATGTTTTGAAACTACTAAATAATATCAAAAGTAATTACAAACTTTTATGAAGAAGTGGTTATTTTAAAAAACTTGAAAAGTATACATATTAGAAAAATAAAAATCAAATAAATATATAAATTTCAAAATATTCAAAAAATTGAATTAATTTTATCAATAATGAAAATACAATATACAAATATTAAAAAAAAACAGAAATTTAATGTAACTTGAAGAGTAAAATTTGAAAACTCGGAAAATAAAAATATGGAAAGCTAAAATAATGAAGTTGAAGCATATTAAAAATTGAAATAAATTGAAAAATATGAAATTTGTAATGTATTACTCCGTATTTCTTAAAGAACTTAATTTTTTTAAAATTACAATTGTTGTTTAATTTTTAGTTTTTGTTTCCTATTGTTTCTTTTTGTTTATAACTCAGGAATTTTTTGTTTCTTATTGTTTCTTTATGTTTCTAGTTTTTTATATTCATAAATCATAATTTATAACTTTAGGTGTTCGTATTTAATATTATATAGAAATTTATGGTTGAAGGAAGAAGTAGAAAAGATAAATTGAAACTTAAATAAGCATAAATATCTAAATCACCAATGAACAATAATAAGATACATAGTGCAACAAAACGAAACATGTTGCAACAAAATGTAACATGATGCAACAAAAAGCAATACATGTGATACCACAAAAAGAAACAAACAATACATAAAAATATCACAGCAGATATAGAATTCAATCTATTGTTCTAATTTAGTACATTTATCTATTAAAGTATTTGGTCTTGCTTCTTATCATTCCTTCTTTGCTATCTCACCCGTACATGTGATTCATATGTCATTACTTTTCCTTCTCGATGCTCTTTGGTGACACTTCCTCCCTGCAAAATACCAAACTTTCAAGTGAATAATAACCCAACCATAACAAAGTAGTGAATTATACAAGAAATAATGAGCAACAGTAACCCCCATCCCCTTGAACTCACTCGAAACAGTGAAGGGCTCCTAATAGTTTCAAAAAAGTAAATCTAAAGTTAAGATGCAACACAGTGACCATCAAGAACAAACAAAAACCTTGCAAATCGCTTAAAGAATTCATAGCAATAGAGCACTTTGTTACTGCAAATCCCACGAGAAAATAAAAACAACCAAAAATCATACTAGCCCTTACCACATACAAATATCACAAGAGCTAATGAGCGATTGCATGAATCTTCCCTTAAAATATAACATCAGATTGGTCATAAAAATATTTAGCATTTAGTAATGTATCTAATCCCACAAGAGCTCTGTCAAGTCAGCCTCTGATGCATCCACACTGCTCACATGACTTTTGTGGGTTGCCATTTCTATTTATTGTATTCATTGGTCAAGTCTTATTCACTGAGCTATCATTATTGAAAAAAAATCATCAAACGATGCCTACATAAGCATTTTCTTTTGAATGAGTTGAAACATACCTGATATCAATTCTGATTAAACCTCCGAACATACACACTGCGAAGGAAAAGAAAGGAAGAGACACTGCGATAGCTATGATCCTTATATAAGGAAATGAAATCAACATAATAATGAAAGCTTAATATAAAAGGAACTTAATACCTAAGGAACTTAATAACTAAGAAACTATAGCAGCTTGGAATTCTATAGTCAACAATAGTGGCTGCAGCAGTTTGGTAGATCCCACGATTGATTTAATTTTTTTAACAATACCTTGGAGCTCTAAGGAAATGCATGTTACAAATATAAAAAAAGAGAACCATAACACCCAGATAATTTTGTTCTATGTACACTTTCATCATCACTACTAATCTCATTTTCATTTATGTATCAATTACTCTGTAATATTTTAGAATAGTCAAGGATAGAACATATGGAGCTGTTGCATGTTACTATACTTACAATTTGACCAAACAATGATATGCAAGAATCTTAAAACTCATACCATTATCAATTTTTTCAAATAAGGGAGGCATCTTAGAAATATCGTGCATTCACAAAACGGGAAAACTATCAATTAATTGCAAAAAAATGCAAACACATATTATCCTAAAAAACCACTTGGCATTATTTAACGTATTGTCGAACAAATATTTAAAAAACTACATGGCAGTGGCTTAGTAATTATCAAGGGCATATCAGTTCCAGTAGCTCCATCCTGGCTATGCCGAGTGGAACTTCCGTAACTGATATTACTCTATCTATGTATCTAAGTAATTATACAAGGAATTTAGCTAATTAGTCTGCCAATTTGTCTCATTTTATATTAAAACCAAGTTAATGGTAGTAATTAATTAATTATAAGTAACAACACTAATATATGCAATCATGTGCTCTGCCCATATGAACAGTATGTGCTTGAAACTTAGTAAACTTATTGTGAGACTTGATTTGAAATCGAAGAAGCTATGTATATATAGCTTATCAAAGGACGACCATGTTAAAAATTACTAATGAAAGAGAATCCAAAGGACGACAATGTTGGACTTCATTAGTAGATACAGATTGCCTGTTGCTGGAGAGAGGGTGCCATATGTGACCAATCAACTCAACCAATGATGAACACGAGGCGGCAGATGGTTATTGAGTAACGGATAAGAGGTGACCGGATATGACGCTTGATCAATCGAACTCAAAGCTAGAACCGTCACAGGCATCCCCAACAGTTCATCCTCTGCAACAACATCCTCACGATATACTCCAGGAGTCTAGAACTTATGACCGCCCCGCCTCCTGCAACGACGGAATCACGTTCATCGATGATTGAATCAAAAGCACCTGATCTACCAATTATAGCTACCGAATCAGTGATTACAACTGCCAGAGCCACAAATTCACTGAGTCTCTGTGCGTGAATGAGGGCGAGGCTGGAGATTTCCTCTCCAAGCTGTACCACCTTCTCAATTGCTTCTGCGGCGAAGAGGTGGCAAAGGACGGTTCCGGGGGGAAGTTTGGAGGACGATGGAAGTCAGTAGGGGTGGGCACGGTCCGAGACGGAATGAGAAATGGGTTGTCTCGGTACCAAACCCGGTTTATGACAACGGTTCGGAACAGGACGGGACAAGACGTTGTCTTTTTGTTGTCCCATTTAAACTGGTACCAGGACAAAATAGGACGGTTCAGGACTTATATCCCAAAAAGCTTATGTGAAAAATTGCAATCCCAGAAATGAAGCAAAGCTATTTGAAAAAAACTATCGCAAAAACCTCTGACAAAAAAATGCAGCTAATCTAGAAAATTGGGATAAAAAAATGCAACCTACCAAATTAGCTGCAAGAAACAAAAGTTGCATGACTAACACAAAAAACTATCAAGAAAATTGTAAAAAAAAAAGATAAAAGAATACTATAAGAGATGAAGCCTTTGGGAGTAAAAATCAATTTCTTTTTTGTTACCAATACTACGTAGATGATAGTTCATAGTTCATACTAGGTAGTTTAGAGTTTTAATTTTAGGTGCTCTGTTGTTAAACAACTAGTATCTTAATAATCATTGGTATTTGGGTTGTGAAAAAAAGGATATTTATTATTATTTGGATTACATAATGAGTTGTTGGTAGACCTCACTAACCTACTACAAAGTACAATTTTGGATTTGGGACAACAGGACGGAACGAGATATATTTTTACTTGTCACGGTCCCATTTTGTTTTGAAACGGTTCAGGACCGGTACGGGACAAAAATAATGTGTCGCAAATATAACGAGACAATTTCAAAACGGAACATTCCAGAACGGACCAACGGGACTGGGTCTTTTGCCCACCCCAAGAATTCAGTACACTTGGATGCTTTGGACTTTAGTTTTAAGTACTCCGTAATGACTAATGAGCTATTTTTGAAATAAAAAGATAAAAGTGAAAAGACAAAAGTTAATGATGAAAAGAATAATATCTTGAGTTATAAATGAAATAGAGATGGCTAAAGTAGATCAACCGGGTAATTTCCACAAATAAATATTATTACGTAATTCAACATCACACATACGGAGTACTCCCTCCGTTCTATTTTACTTAGCCAATCTTGACTTTTCAAGTCAATAGAGTCTAATTTTGACTGATTATATGTTTATATAGAAAAAATATTAATAGAAAATGATATGAAAATATTCTTTGTTAAAAATACTATCATTAAATTATAAAATTATTAAATTTTGCATAAATATATTAGTTTAAATAATTGGTCAAAGTTTACCATTTTTGACTGGAAAAGTCAAAGATGACGAAGTAAATTGGGACGAAGAGAATTATTTTATTTATTGGATAAAACAACGTTTAAACGTTCTTTACATCAAAGTACACACAAGCCCAAATTAAAGGGAGGGCCATTATTCACACACGTACGTACGGACTGTATAAATATATAGGCAGTGACGTGGTACATAAAATACACAAGATGCAGCTGGCAGACACGATCGAAATTAACATAAATTACGTAAGTACAAATACGTGTCGTAATTAAATGAAATAATTAAAAGAAGTGGTACTTCTTCTTGTGTCCCTCAGCCGCTTCTTCATCTTCCTTAGCTTCCTTCTTCTCGTGATGCTCATGGAACGCAAACCCACCGGAGCCGACTGCGGCCGCCGCAGCGACCTCCTCTTCTATCTTGTGTCGGTGTGCGTGCTCAGGATCTTTCTTTGCCTCGTGCTTCTCATACTGCCACATCCCCCAAACTACTTGATTATATTGACTTTTTTTTATCAAGCTAATTATAATCAAATTTGACTAATTATGTATTAGATACCGTGGCGGAGCCAGTGATTTCTCGAAGGTGGCATACTAAAAATAAATATACTAAAAATAATAATAGCGTAATATGTTAGCACAAATTAGTTCATTAAATACTGCTTGACTTCTATCAATCATATGAGTTTTAATTTGTTCAAATCGTTGTATGATAACTTCATGTTGTGAAAACACAACTTCTAGTTTTTTCTAGAATCACAAGCTCATAAACTCTTATACACTTATATATCCACACACTCATAATACAAAGAGTTAATATGACAATATCATTTTGTATTACCCTCACCACTCTTTGTATATGAGAGTAATTCACTTTATCTCACTCGATCACATACACTTCATCAAGTGATGATATCTTTGAGCCTTCTCTTCTTACAAGAAGGCTCTCACTCTACTCTCAGTTTCACACACTCAAAAGCTCTCCTTAAAGTTCTCATAGAAATGGAAAACTTCACTGTAGTAATCTCATCAAAGCTCCTTGAGAATTTTCATACTCTATTACACATCTAGATTCTTACAAAGAGTATTCATAAGCTTCTCTAATCTTGAGGAAGGATTTAGAGAACTCCACAATTCTTCAAAATGTTCTAGAGGCTTCCACACACTTGCACACAATTTTAGTGAGCTCCACACTTTTTTAAAAAACTAGACATTATTGTCGATCTAGAACATTTAATACTTCTCTACATATGTATGGAGAATATTGGACATCTCTGAGAATTCTAAAATTCTCTTGAGTTTCTCGACTAAGAAGGGAATCCAACATAGCCTCGAGAATGTTTTGATCTTTTTGTTGCAAGAAATGTGACAACATATTTGTTAAACTAACAGGTGACTTTGTCTTTTATTTTAACACTTAATCTATTGTATTTATTTTGAAAAAAGAAGGGGGCCCATTAAATATTTTGTGAGTAGTAGTACTAATTTTTTTGCCTGAGACTGGGGCGCTTGCCCTCCCTAGCTCCTCCGCTGTTTAGATATGAAACTCTATACAATGAAAAATTATGAAGAAAATATTTATTTTAAAAACACTTACATAAATGCATAAAATTTAGGGAGGTTTACATTTTTATCCCATTATTTTCAGTCATTTTCATTATTAGTCTCGTAAATTTAGTCACTTGTAAGATTAGTCCTGTAACTTATCACTTTTTGCGGTTTAAGGACTTCTCACTGAAAAATACACTTTCCAGCACAAGCAAACCAAAAAGTGTCACCGGCATTAAATTTATCTTCAAGAAAATGTACTTTTATGTGGAAAAGTGATTAAGTTGCTAAGATTTATCAGTTATATGAACATATTACAAGTGAGTCAAGTTATAGGACTAATAACTGTAAAGCAGCCGAAAGTAGCACATGGTTTATAGGATAGAGGGAGTATGTTTTATCTCTAATAAAACTTACTTACTCCCATTAAAAGAATGGAGTGATTAATACCTTCCTAAGAGAATCTCCAATGCTACAATGGGCATAGTGCACATGTGGCATGAGAGGGATACACACAAAAAAGTGATATTATGACATTTCTCTATCATTCTTTCTACGGTCTTATGTGTTTTGGTAAGTTTTTGTCTGCAATGTCAACCACAATAATGTCTACATCTAGACATTGTGATTGACATTGTGAAGAAAAACTTACCAAAATGATGTAAGATACTTCAAATAAGGAGAGAGATATTCTATTTATCGTTTTTTAATTGGTTATTTCTCATGCCACGTATGATCGTTAACGTTTTTTAAATATGGGTGATGTTCATGTAAGGTAGACTTAAAAGTTACTCTCTCCATCCCGGAATTATCTTCATACTTTCCTTTTCGGTATGTCCCAAATTTATCTCCTCTTTCCCCTTTTAGCAAAGAATTTGTGGTTCACAACCATTCTTATATATTCTTACACATTTCTCTTTCCTCTGCACAACTCTCCACCACATATTTCCAACTATCTTAATATGTGTGCCAATTGTACTTGTGAAGATAAATATGGGACGTAGGAAGTATAATTTTTAGGTCTCTTTCATTTGAGATACTTCCGGATCGATTTTTTTGAGGAAATTTTATGAGCATGTTCGCCATGAAGTGTAGAATATGTCCACCAAATTTCAGATTAAAACTCAATTGGAAAGTCAATTAATTAAATTATTGAAAAAACTGTGATTTATATATAAATATAACTGCCCAATTTTCAAAAATTTATTTATCAAACATCTCAATTAAATTTTATCTGAAACTTAGTATACATAATCTACACTTTATTGAAAACATTCTCACAAAATTAAATCAAAAAATTCGACCCAGAAGCTTTTCAAATGAAAGAGACCTCAAATTTTAATTTTTTGGCCTACCTTAGTAAACATTTTCCCCTAAATAGTGTTGATCGAGTCATACATTACAAAAAAAATCTGGGTTTGACAGAGATTTTGAAAGGAATTTGAAAAAAAATAAAGAAAGATTTGGCATGAATATGCCAAATCCCTGCCAAAAACACTTTGACACGAGCTATTTGGCACCAAAAATCCGTAAATCTGAACCAAATTCGGTGTCAATCCCGTGTTTTTTTGCAGTGATATTCGGATGGAAAAAGTACATATTAAAGAAAATTTATGAATAAATTTGTAGTATACCAAGGCATAGGCACCGGCGGCGGCGGTGCCAAGCTCACCAATCTGCTGGAGATGCTTGTGATGTTTTTTCTCCTTCTCGAGATCCTCATGGCTTCTCCCGGCAGGCTTGTTGTCCTCATAGTCAGCAGCTTCTTGACCGATGCCGTACGACTCTTGACCATACTCATACCCAGCGGTGGTTTGCTTCTCATAATTGCAAGATTCATCCCTTCCATAGCCGGTGGCAGTTACTTGGTCGTAGGGCTTCTCATAAGCGCCATAAGTGTCGTTATTGCTTATATCACCGCCGAAGCCTGTCGTGCTGTCTGGATAGGAAGGCTGTCTGTTTTCCTCTTCATCGTCTTTGCGGTGGCCAAAGTGGTGGCGGTGGTGCTTCTCCTCCGACATGGCGATTGGTTTCTTGCCGGCGAACTAGTTAGAAGAGGTGGAAATGTGGAATAATACTCCGTACTACTTGAGAGATATGGGATGCAAAACTATATTGAGCGCATATGTATTTATATAGGGTTAATTATCAAAATAAGATTAAAAGTCACTCACTTTGTATAAATAGGACAAAAAAATAAACTGTTTTTTCATAGGGCTAATTATGTGTGTCTTGAAAAAATATACCCTTATAGCTATTGAAATGTTTTAATTCATAATAAAATAATAAAAAATAATAAAAATTCATAAAAAAAACTAAAAAATTAATAAAAATATAGAGATAATAATAATTTATTTATTTATTTATTTTCAAAAAAATAAAAAAATAAATAAAAAAAATTAAAAAAGAATAAAAAACTCAAAAACATAAAAAAATTCACCGACGCTGCTACCGCCTCTGCACCACCACCTCCTGTCACCAGGGGAAAAAAATGCAAAGTTCATTACGAATGTCATATTTATGGCAGAAAACAATGAAAATGTTAGCATTCTCAAAGAGAAATATGCCATGTTTTGGCATTTTCAGAAAAAAATGATAGTTTTTAGGAAAATTGACATTTTTTTCACCGCCAGAGATGGTGGTGCAAGGAGGTAGTACAGGCAGTGGGAAAGGCATCCATATTTTTTTAAATTTTTTATGGAGTTTTACTATTTTTTATTAATTTAAAAAAAATGTTTTAATTTTTTATTTTATAAATATTTTATAAAATTTTTAATTAGTTTTCTACGAATTTTTGAATTTTTTTTGAATTTATTATGAATTAAACATTTAATTAACTCGTATTTAAAGGAAGGGTAAGAATGAAATGAAAAAATAGGTATGTTTCCAATAGGAGTAATATGGTCCTATTTTGAAAAGAAAAACATAGTAAGTCCTATTTTGAATTTTTCCATAATTTTAGTCCTATTTAGAGTAATTTCTAATTTATATAACGTTACAACTTACAAATGAGAGTGGATTATTTATAAGTAAAATATACCACGTATTACTCTCTCCGTTCTTTATTATCTGTCTGCTAGCCTTGGACACGAGTTTTAATAGAAAAATAGTAGGGTAAATGTAGAGTGTGTAGGATAAATGATAAATTAGGAAAAAGAGTTTATTAAAAAGAGTAAAGTGGTGATAAAGTGATGATAAAAGAGGAAAGAGAGTATATTAAGTAGAGTAAAGTTATGATAAAGTAGGAAAGAGAAAGTAGTTTGTAAAAAGTAAGAGGGGTAAAAGTAATAAAAGTAGGAGTATTTTATCAAAAACTTTCCTAGAATAGAAAGGGAGACAAATAATAAAAAACGTCCCAAAAGGAATGCGAAATAATTAATAAAGAACAGAGGGGGTACTTAATACAAAAAGGTGAAGTTTCACACACAAAAATCATTCTAAAACTTGAAAATTTGCATGTACATGAAACAAAATATCTACCCATCCTGCCCTGAATTTGACCGACATAGTGGTTACTTAAGACAACCACAATTATATTTTCAAAACATATTTAAAAGGGGGAAATAAGGATAACTGTTTACTATCATCCTTTCTTTAATAATTCCAACATTTTAACATTTACTTTTGTCAACACATAACTTTGACTGTAATTATACTTAATTATATATTAGTAAACATTATAAAAAATTAATGTTTTGAAAAATCACATTAATAAAAAATTTATACTCCCTCCTTATTTTAAAGATCCATACGTTAGCTTATGACACAAGATTTAAGGAAGAATAGTAAAGGTAATGAGTAGTATAGAAAAAGTAGGAGAGAAGGTGAAAAGGTAAAAAAGAGATGATAAAAAGTAGAAAAGGTAAGGGTAATTGAGTATTTTTAAAGGAAAAACTTACCAGAAAGGGAAAATGTAGAAAACTTTTAAATACAGCCCAAAAAGGAAAGTGTATGAAACTTTTAAATACGAAGGGAGTAACATTTTATACATAATAATTTGATTATATGTAGTGTATATTTGTGGAAAATTGTGATCAAAGTAAAGTGCATGTGTTGAAGGTAAGTCCCGTAGATCCGAAAGCCCAACACGAACTTTGGATATATCAGGAATGGACCAGAATCAAAGTGTATAATAAAATATAAAATATGAACTCACTAATACCCAAAAGCCCACTTGTATTAATTAACATGTCTGATTACAAGGAAATTCCCGATCGGTAGGTCGGAATAATGCTTTAATACAAGAAACAAGAGTAATAATGCTATTCTAGAGCCTGAGTATTGAAATGCTAATCCTTACAATGATTTTAAACCTTCTATTTATACTAATGGAGAGCATGGGCTGCTCTATGCTGATTGGCCGTTGTTCCACCGACTTGATCACCCATGTGTCCACTTGCTGATGTCACAATCTGGCATTAATTGCACCTGGCCACTTGCTGGTTGTCCGTTGCTCGAACGGGATGTTGGACCATTCTGAAGACGCTGCCAAATTGGCCCAAGTATGATATATGGTCCGAACTCCGTTCGGTATATCTTATTTCTGGGCCGGCCTTTACCTGGACCGAACCTCGTTCGGTATGAATTCTTCACTGGATCTACTCATCATAGGGTAATGGACTCATTGTTTGGGCCGGGTTTCCTGGGCCTGTTTGATCCGGGTATTGGGCCTCCGGGTCAATAACCCAACACAAGTCCCCCACTTCCGGTGTCTCGAATGTCAGTGAGTGCATTAGGAAGTATGAACACAAATGCTGCACTGCTGAATGACGATCGGGGTACATGAGTGGTCAGTCCCTCATACTGTGATTTGACGGCTGTCGTTTTATTTTCCCCATATTCATCATGATAACCGTCGTTTAGTCTTTTCATTGGACACGCGTTTAGCTTAAATGCTTCTAGTGACGTGTCGCTTCCTGATTGGTCTTCGATACGGCGGTTTAAAGGCTATAAATTAGCCTTTAACTTTTCAAATCCGGGTTTCGATTCTGCAATTTCCTTCGCATCGTTGCTCTCTCTGAATTTTCTTCAAGCTTTCGCTGTTCAGGTACTTTTCCTCCCTCTACTTTCTCTCCTCATTTCTGGCTCGGTCGAGATGAGTTCTCAATCGCATTCCCCTGATTCGGAGATGGCCTCCCATGGAGATGACCGTGACGCTGCTATCGTGGACGTCATCACAGTTCCATTCGCCAGTGGTTCGACTGAAACGACGACAAATACTAGGGCGGAGGCGGAAGACCTTCCTAGCAGTTCATCTTCCTCCGGTGAAAGCTCTGATGGCACGAAATCCGAGGACGAAATGGATTTAATGGCGGCTGTACGGCCAAAAGATGTCCCCCGTCATTCACTCGACCTAGGTTTAATTATGGCAAGACGGTAAAAATTGACTGCCAATAATAGGGCCGAAATTCAGGCCCTAATCCCAGACCCAGTGGACTTTCGATTGCAAGCTGGGCTTCATCCCCTGCGTCACGCCTCTGGGATGGTAGTAGTCCATTTCGATTTAGTGAGGGCTGGGCTTAGATTTCCGTTACACTCCTTTTTGGTTTCATTTTTTAATTTTTATGAAATTGTACCTGCACAAGTCATGCTGAACTCCTATCGGGCAATGGCGGGCTTTATCTGTCGTTGTAAAGATGTCGGTGCCTCGCCGACCTTAGATTTATTCCATCAATTTTTCAAAGTAGCCCCCCAACAAACTCATGGGTATCTAGCCGCTAGTTCCCGAACGGGCCATATTCTATTCAAGGGCAATCCAACCTCAATCAAGGGATGGAAAGATAGGTTCTTCTTCGTGTCTATCCCGGACGGGTTGATCCCTCGCAAATGGAACACCTTCCCTCGCAAGACTCCCGACCCAGTTCTCACTGAGGAAATCTACAAGGATGTACTCGCTGTGGAGAAGGACAAGTGTTGTGATATCATGACCTACCTGACTCCCGATTCCAATGCCTTTGAGCGGTCCTGGTATTATCCCGTTCGGCGTACTGGAAATGACGACCCATAGGAGTAGGTCCCCTAGCTTGTGACCCGATCGGGGTCCGGTCACTGGGAATGTGATGCACTGTTGGTGGAGCGCCACGGCGATTATCCCGATGGGCATGTGAGCGGGATGATGCTGTGGTCGTTTCTGTGCGTGGAACTTCCCCTGTAAAATTGGATCCTCCTTCTTCCTCATTTGCCATGTGCTGCATGACCTGGGCCATATCTCGCATGGCCTGAGGATTCCTCCGTAGAGCTTCAGGAATTACAAAGTCCCCATCAAAATGAGGATATGATCCTCGGCTGATTGCCCCTGAGGGGTTTGATTTCCCGAGGTGTGACTCCTTCTGTGACGGCGTGAACCATCGTTTGTGTGATAAGAACTGATTCTGACCATTTTCGAAAATAGCTGTTTTAGGATAATTGAATGTGAAACTTTTTGAACAGTTTTCCACAGACGGCGCCAATGTTGAAGGTAAGTTCCGTAAATCCGAAAGCTCAACACGAACTTTGGATATATCAGGAATGGACCAGAATCAAAGTGTATAATAAAATATGAACTCACTAATACCCAAAAGCCCACTTGTATTAATTAACATGTCTGATTACAAGGAAATTCCTGATCGGTAGGTCGGAATAATGCTTGAATACAAGAAACAAGAGTAATAATGCTATTCTAGAGCCTGAGTATTGAAATGCTAACCCTTAGAATGATTTTAAACCTTCTATTTATACTAATGGAGAGCATGGGCTGCTCTATGCTGATTGGCCGTTGTTCCACCGACTTGATCTCCCATGTGTCCACTTGCTGATGTCACAATCTGGCATTAATTGCACCTGGCCACTTGCTGGTTGTCCGTTGCTCGAACGGGATGTTGGACCATTCTGAAGACGCTGCCAAATTGGCCCAAGTATGATATATGGTTCGAACTGCGTTCGGTATATCTTCTTTCTGGGCCGGCCTTTACCTGGACCGAACCTCGTTCTGTATGAATTCTTCACTGGATCTACTCATCATAGGGTAATAGACTCATTGTTTGGGCTGGGTATCCTGGGCCTGTTTGATCCGGGTATTGGGCCTCCGGGTCAATAACCCAACAACATGAATAGTACAAAAATCACAATGTTGCGATTATTGAAGAAAGAACGGATGGAGTTATATTTTAATATCAATAAATAGACCTATATTTTTCTTCTATAAATTACAAAGAAAAATGTGTAATTTGTTGAGGGACATCTAATTATTCTTTATGAGAAATT